CCGGTGGTTGATATGTAGATGATTGCTGAGACTATCTGAGACTACAGATATGTGTTCCAGGTCCTACAAGGGCTGCTGGTTCCAAACCAACTTCTCCATTTGGGGCCCCGGCTCTACTGGTCGCTGCGTAGCGCACTGTGAGGCGACTTCGCCCAAAAGCCCATCGAAGAGTACGTGCCAAGTTGGCACTTCGGGGGCGGAAGCGGTGCCAGAGTTCAACGGCTTCAGGATTCAAAGCTCCAACAATCTCTTGCTGTCAAATTACCACAAATGGGCCCAACACATTGTCCACCCAAGATCTCCGGGGTTGCAAACACTTATATAATATATATATCACATATATTCACATATTCCTTCGCAACAACTGGAAATTGATTAAGGTCGATTTTCCTTCCAAGCTGAATTTACAGCTCCTCGCACCAGGAGGATGAGAGCCATGATCTTGGAAACAATCATAGCCTTTGCATCATTACAAAGGCAATCAGAATCGCATATCTATAAACTATCGTAGCCTATGAATCATTATGATATTGAACTTTAAATGTATGTGAATACAGGACAACCTAGTGTAATATATAACTATGAAGACACACATATAATCACAAATACATGTGTAACATGTATCTGATGTATATGCCTACGGCTGGAAAACCGTACGTGCGTTTTGCTTCTTTTTTGAGTATTGCTCTTTGTCTTGGGGTTGGGGTGGGGTGGGGTGGGGGGGCATGTTAACGTTCCTTGTACTTCGTACATGATATATTGCCATGTTGCTAAGATCTCTGGGATCGCTTACTACGTGACATGTTGCTACGCTGCTGGTATCTCTGAGATAGTTTCCTACGTTACATGTTGCTACGCTGCGTATGGGTTTGGGTGCGGTAGTGATGCATAGGTTTTCTGAGCCGACGAAGAGTGTTAAAAAAATCTGAGCATCCACGTCTGATGCACATGATGTTTACCTGGATTTGTCAAAAATCAATAGATTTTGCATCCACTTTTTTTAACCGGAATTCAGTTATCCAAAGAGTTCGGAAGAGCATTTTATATTGTAAATTACAGGTGATTGTGACTCTCCTGGAAGCAAACAATCAAAACGCTCGCGCGGTTTCCCATCCGCCGGGATGTATATCCTATATAGACATACAGACATATATATATATATGAGTGTGTTCATAGATACAGGTATGCATGCACGCTTGACTTTCCATCCCTCAAAGATGAGATATAATCCCGACTCACTCAGGTGGCTAACATCATGCCGGTCGTCGCCACGTCTGGCATTGGCAAAGCACTGATGTGCTGCGGCTTAAGAATGGAAGTGACATCTGGGGGGAGGACATTCCACGATATATCCAAGATAGTTTCAGGAAAATTGTGGATACTGCATAACTATATAGCTTGACAATAGCAACTGAAAAGCTAGCGGATTTTTGAGCACCACCAACGTTAGGGCCAAACGAATTTGGGTCAAAATTCAAGAGCTGTTGAGATTCACAGTGTTTTTGGTCGTAAACCCAAATGAGATTGCCAAAAGATGCGGGAAACCTTCAACAATAGGATTTTCTCAAGCTAAAACAGCCACTGTGACTGTGTGTTTTTATCTGACAGACCCAAACGAGTACTGACACATACTGACACTATTTTGGGCAAAGGAGAATTTGTTTGCAAGTGCATCATCCATCGGTCAAAAAACAATACATAGCAAACATGAGCTAGTAATGCACGCAGACCAACAAACGGCTTGTCTTTCCTTGGGTTGAAATTCTACATGTCATGGGCTCAAGCTCTGTTTTCTCATCCTGGAAGAATTGTCGTTTAGGTCCCAAAGATGATCAGCCAGGCCTAGTTCCAAGGGTCGCCTATTCTTCATCCTCAAATGAGCAGCGTTCCACGCCCCACTTGGTTAAAAAGGGATTATACAACCCAAGATATTGGGGATTTTCATCATCCATGATCGGAACCCCTATCGAGCAACCAGTTTAATGGAATCACAGAAGTTTTTGAGCAATCCTCAGATGTTATCATAGTTTTGGGATGGTTTGGTCAAAACTTGCCCAAGGATTTGTCACAGATCTGTTGCCAGCAATTGGAACTGCTGTTTACATTTGGTTGGCTCTGATCAACGAGGCAATATGAGCAGGAACTTGGAGCTTCCCCCCAGAATAACAGATTCGCACAAGAGAGCGCAGGGGGAAATCATCGCATCAATCGTGTCTTCTGATAGATCATCGTATGGATCAATGGATTGGTTTAAGGGAAAATCTACAGGAAACCATTGATTTTCCCATTAAATATGGGGCTTTCCTGTAAATTTTCCCTTAAACCAATCCATTGAATGGAAAGCTTCGATCGTGTACATAGCATCCATCCACACATCAAGGAAAGTGCTGGAGGATGTAAGCAAGCGCCGCTCGGTTGCGTGAACTGGATCATGGTCCAATGATGGTGGCGTTCGGTCTGGGAAGGCCCCATGAATTGGGGGATTTCAAGTAGCGCCTAGATGAGCAGAATTGGAAACCCCTGCGAGTGTTGTAAGCGACAGGATCACTGCTTTTTGGGATAGTCTACAGTACCCCATTCTCTCCAGGCAAGTTCGTGACTAGCAGACCAAGAGAATGAAGTTCAAAGAAACATCAAGAAACTGACAGTCACGTGTTTTTGACAGTTGCACTGCGCGAGATCTGCCAAAAAACACCTGCCAAGGCTGGGGTGACGAGGCACGGATGGTGACAGACAGCCATGAACCATCCCCCATTGGTATCTGGTCAGTTTCACCCCATTGTAAGCCAGTTATAGCATGTTTAACTCATGTTCAACTCATGTTCAACTGATGTTTATACTGTTTACCCCAGCTTTTCACCTTTCTCATCGGCGCATATTTGTTAAAATTTGTGACATGTTTTCAGCTGCAACTCATGGATACTCATGGTGCCAGAGGGCTGAACAATCACCACCTCCTGGGATGTTTTTCGCCTCCAGGAGTGGGCAAAGTTCAGCCGATGCGGTGGGTTGAAAGAACTGGCGCAGGTCTTGGTCAAGGTGCCATGGGATAAAAGGCCCCCGGAAACAGTTGGAAACCTGGAAGTTTGGAGAAAAGCCTCTATATCCTGGAAAATCTTGGAAACAGGTTTCTATCTTTTGGAGGTGACTAAATTATAGCCACACACTTCCATTTTGAGCCTTTTTGGGATTAGATGGGTTTAGCAGTTTGCCATTTATCCCACTACTAGTTGATTTCGCAGGGGATCCAGAAACCAGATAGGAATGGGAGCATGAATTAGCAATGGCAATAGGAATGTACCCGTGTGGAGATTGAGGTTATTTAAACTTACCATAAGTTTCAGACAAGCCAATCGTATGGGTCAATACATCCAGTAGCACCGGGAATCACTTGGCCAAACGTAGAGCCTATGGAACAACACTTGTTGTTGATGATTTGTGATTTGTGTAGAGGTCAAATTCGAAACCTGGAAATAGGGAGAGAACCACCATTTGCTTGATGATGTGGCCGGAATAGATTACGATTGTTGGGGCACCATCTGTTTTTACGTCTTCAAATTGACCCACTTCCAGAAAACATTTTGTTGTTTGCCTCTAGAAAAGACTCTGTTGGAAAATAATCGGAGACTCTAACGGTAAGACGAACACACTTAGTCACAGATATTTGTTCATATCAGTGCACATTAGCTATCGAGATATTGAAGGTTGATAGTTGTGTTCCCGTTCTAAATGGAGGTTCTCTGAATGGGGGATCATCCAAGTTGTTCGACCATTTTAGATACACAATATCATTTTAGATAGTTTGATCATATTTCAGATATCTTATGCACTGAAAGCCATGGTTTTAGGATAGCCTCATTCTAAGAAACCTCCACATGGGAAGACTCCTCAACGCGATGACAGTCATGACATGAGGACCCAAAGCAAAATTCCACCCAGGTCGCTTCTGAAAGCAGCCCATCGGCCCGGCCCATCAGCCCACCAAACCAAGGTAGCGGAGGCTGAAGAGAAGGTTCTTCCAGTCAAGGTGCGAGAAGTGGAGATACTGTTGCTGGTCCACTTTTAAGCCAACCAACAACTGCCAATAATAGGGATTGTATATGATTATATATATATATATAATCATTATAGAACTAGTTCTGTAACTGCCCAGAATGATAACGTATAGCTACCCAAAATGGAGATTGAATTATCGAGAATAGGGATGAAGAGGATGCACACATGGGAATTCAACCAACAGCTGAGCATGGGTTAAAATTGTCTGATTGGGAAACTGCAGGCTGACCGTTTATTTTTAGCATGAACCGTCAAATGCTTTGGGATCTGTCTGGCAGTTGGTTTGGAAGCGGACACGTCATTATTTCTGGAATCTCCACGCGAAAAACATGTCCAGTGTCCGGTAGATAAGGAATGACAAGGAGGTTGCAGCCTTGACAAGCTTCAATGATTTGATGCCTGGGATGATCATTTGTTCCCTATAGTATTTTCTCTTTTGCAATCCATGGCGCTTGGCAACTTTGGGGCCAATGATTTTATCCGTTGATCGGCCAGTGACAGCTGGTTGACTGCTGGTCCTGTGGCCGTCAGGTCCAGAAGAAAATGCAGCAGATGCTGCAGAAGTTTTCTTCGGAGCGCCTTGATCCTGTCGTGGGACTTCTGAGATGGTCCAGTCATGTCCAGTCAATCCCCTCTCAACTCCTCTCAACCTTCGTTGAACCGCTGGGAAGTTGAAACATGTTCCAACTTTGGCAGAAAATTCTCAGACTCTGGCCGGTTCCCATAACCCTCCTTCGTTCTGTCCTTTCATGCTGCATTGCCGCCCGTACAATGGAGGCTTAATCATAGAAGTTCTACGCCTCCCCAGGAATGTTTCTGTTTCTCTGGGGCTTTCCTCCTTGCATCCACATCTGACGTGACTGACGTGTCAGTGACGAGTTGAAGAAGACCCATGGCTTTCTCCGGGCGGCTTTGCAGCTGGCATCTGGCATGAAGGACGTCAGGGTGCCAGGGAGGATGTCCGATTTTTGGCCAAGGAGGGAAGCTTGAGGAACACCGGGTAAAAACCATGATGAAGTTTCCTTTGGATCAAGATATTGATAGTCCAAAACCACCTCCCGAAGGCATCTGTGACCTTGAACCCCCATCGTTTTCAGGACGAGAACTTCTTCAAAAAACTCGAGGCTCAACCGATGGACATCGATGGACGGGTAGAAATTGATGTCGGGATTGGCTGGAACCATCAACTGGCAAAGTTGCTTTGTGGTTTCAACATGTTTCAAAAAGATTCAAAAAGCATGTCGTTGTTTTTCATCCTTGAACAATTCTTGGGACAGGTTGACACCCCCAGCAAGAAGCCCCAAAGGTATTCCCAGGATTTCCAAGGTGACAATATGAGCAGTTGAATGCAGAAGATGGAGCATCACAGTCAGAGCCACACATGATGATACATTCTGGTAAGGTTACATTTCAATGGACACACGCACATATATATATATATACAAGCAATCAATGTGAATAATTTTTAAAAACCTGCCAGGTGAGAGTCTCTACATTCTATGATAGGTTGCTCCCCCTTCTCCTCGTCCTCCTCTGGCTCTACTCCTCCTGCTCATGCTCATAGACTCTATCGCCAGCTCGCAGACTCTATGGGGCTCGCCGGACACACTCTATGCCAGAGGAAATGTCAGATAGAATGCCAGATACTAGAATGTCACTTAAATTACCAGATATAATGTCAGAATATATATCAGACAATTTGCTAGATAAAATGCCAGATGGAACGCCAAGACATATGTCAGATAGAATGTCAGAATCGATGTCAAATAGAATGCCAGACAAATTGCTAGGACAACATTTTTAGATAGAATGTCATGTAGAATGGCATAATAGATTTCACATAAGAATATCTACATGTCAGAATACACGCCAGAATGCCAGGTAAAATGCCCATAGAATGTCAGTTGGCAGGGATCACTCGAAGAAAAACATGTTCCAAGGTGGTACACCCAACAGTAAGCCATGACACGGGGGCACCGTGGACATCGAGGTAAGTTTGCCGTATATTACATTGATATACATTGATCCCCAATTGGGGATGGTTTATCATTGGGTTTGCCGTATATTATCATTCTTCAAATGGGTTATCTCAAAATTTAGCGGACATCATTTTCTCATTGAAATTTAGCGTAACTTGGGGCTAAATCCAGCATTTTCAGAGACACCCAGCTTGCAGGTTGCATATCCAGTCACCTTAGACTGACTGCAACATTCGCAGGTGGCAACGGTGGACCTGTGTATCGATCTGCTGCAGAAGCCAAATATTGAGGACCAGTGGAAAAGGGCTTCCTCTCAATATGCAACACCAGACATGGTGATATAATTCAGAAAACCCCAATGCCTCGTTTTAGCCTTGGGTTAATTGTGGATTATCATTACAACGCTGAGGAAATTTCGTCATTTGACTTCCGGTGGGTTTGTCCTAAAACGGTAGATATGCAATGATATACCCCAATTGATGAGGGGAAACTTGTGACAAACAGAGAACCCAGGGGAGACTGAAATGAACTCCTTAGAGCAGAGTAGAATGCACGGCACCACGGATTCTGTAGGAACATGGGTATGGTGAATCTTTGGGTACACCAAACATTGGATGTTGGATGGTTAATACTATTACATACATACTACTAGGAGACTTAGATCTGTGGTCCCTCAGGCCCCTATTTTTGATACCCATAGCCCATAACATCCCATAATTAAGTCTATCATTTGTCCTAACAGTTAGCATCCCCAAAAAAACGATGGATCTCCAGCGCAGGAGACGGTCTTGTTTCTGAAGGACCTGCAGCAGCCGCGTTTCCAGTGGACGGTCGGAGCTGCCTGGGGTGATCCTGATGTCTTCAAGATGGGAACACTAATGATCGAACATGCTGTTTTAATAACGTTTTACAATGTTTTATAGGGATTGGTATATCCAACAATACGGACTTAACTTGACTTAACTACCAGTAGTACCCGCACGAGGCGGGGCGGAAGTTGCCTTAAAGATATATATAAGACCTTTCTCATCTATAGAACTTGCATGCGCCGTGCGCCAGCCAAGCCCATGCGTGCGTGCACTCTGCGAAACTGGTGTCTTGTTTCACATGTCGCATTTGAAGCTCCACTTCACACTTCACACTTGACAGTCTTCACACTCCACACTACACACTTCACACTTCGCTCTTCACGCTGCACTCTTCGCACTTCACACTCCACACTCTTCACACTTCACACTGCACTCTTCGCACTCCACACTTCACACTTCACACTGCACACTTCACAGTCCACACTTCACACTGCACTCTTCGCACTCCAAACATCACACTTCACAGTCCACACTTCACACTTCACAGTCCACACTTCACACTTCTCACTTCTCACTGCTTCCTTCACACTCCAAACTTCACACTTCACACTTCACGCCCCACACTTCACACTGCACTCTTCACACCCCACACTTCATCTAATCTGAGCTCTTCTCACCTTATCCCAGCTCAGCTCTTCTCATCTCATCTCTTCTCATATGTCATGCAAGCTTTCATGAATCACTTCCCAGTACTAACTGCGCACAAAACCACTTCCCAGTACTACTTTGTAGTACAAAGCTTGCAGAAACTACTTCCCAGTACTACTTTGTACTACAAAGCTTGCACAAAGGACTTCCCAGTACTACTTTGTACTACAAAGCTTGCACAGACAAAGCACGTCCCAGTACTACTTTGTACTACAAAGCTTGCACAAAGGCGTCGGAAATTGCAGCTCCAAAACCGGATCTCGACGCCAAAGCGACAAAAAGACGATTTTGAAGCACTTTTTAAAAGGAATTTTAAAAGGAAAATTACTATCGCCAAAATTGCGACAATCTGCTGACAAATCACTATCGCAACCTGGATGCAGCCACTCCAATACGATTTACAATCTTCAGCTGCAAAAGACAATAGTATTACGCGTGCAGCCGCGGCACCAAGCAACCTTGACGCAGCCATTACAATGCGATCTGCAGAGACTGAGTTGCAAAACACAATAGAAATACGCGCAACGGCGTCGGAAATTGCAGCTCCACAACCGGATCTCGACGCCAAAGCAGGAAAAAGACGATTTTGAAGCACTTTTTAAAAGGATTTCTAAAAGGAACATTACTATAGCGCCAAAATTGAGAAAATCTGCTGACAAATGGCTATCGCAACAGCCTCGGAAACTGCAGCTATTCCAATGCGATCTGCAACCACAGATTCAAGAAACGCATAGAACTACGCACACAGGAACAACCACTCGTTGCAGAACACAGAGGAGGACTCGGAGGAACCGATTGAACTCGAAACGATCCAAACCGCACCCGCCGCACACACGAGGTACCTGTCATCGCCGGCTGAAGCCACTTTACACGGAAAAATGCAAGGTTTCGTGCTCCGGCTTCCTCCCCAAAAGAAAGCCCATGCAAAATTCATGCAGCCATTACAATGCGTTTTACAGCATGACGTGGCTAACCCGCATGCATCTACGCACATGGCAACACCAG